AAACTAAAATAGAAAAGAAAAATTCTTATATATAAATCCATATCAATATATAGAAACTTATGTGCACAAATTACTGTGCATGGGCTCAAAATATTCTCACCAGGAACTTATGAACATCCCCAAGAATCAGTGAGAAATTAGTGCAGAATTTCTGCATATCACCATAGATGTCGCCTTCTGTGCCTATAACATCCATGAACTTCTTTCTATCCGGCGCAAGTTTGATCGCAACCTTTTATTATGAAAAAATGGAATATACCATTATTAATTTTAAATTAACTATTAGCTTCTTTTTTTGCTAAAAGATTATATACATATTTATGTATATCCTATATATGTGTGTGTGTTTAAATCCAAGTAATATAGATTTACCGTAAAACTTGAGCTTGCTAGCCAACCATGCCATTTCTTCAAGGTCTTGCCGTACGCATCATTACAAACTTGAGACAGAGACCAATCTTGATGATCAGCTAAATTACGAAACAATTCTACAAGAAAATCCATTGCTCTGTAACATAGAATAAGAGTTGTCGTATTATCTCAATTCATTATCAATTACACGCAAAAAAGAAAGGATTGACCTCAACTTAGAAAATCCATTTCTTCAAGTTGTTTGAAAATAAATAAATAAACAAAAGTGCATCACAAATTAAGAGGAACCTCGTCAACCAAAGGAGACCGTTGGTACAACTAGACGATGCTTTAGCAGATTTTGTTTCGACTTCGGCTTGTACCAAGTTGTAGAGGTAATTGAATCTGGAGGGATTTGAGTCGTACTTAGATTCCAGCCTCTAGGATTTCAACGCAAAAATTAAAAAAATAAAAAATAAAAATAGAAATCTCAGCATATGGAGTAAAACTACATGCTAATAAAGTTTTAATCATATGCAGTAAAAAAAAAAATCCTTAATCACTGAAAGATATATATAATTATTTTCACGACATCAAAACTGTAAAAATACAAATTGATGAAATGTTCATATATTTTAAATTTTTAATCACAGTCGATTATAAAATGAAAACTTACCGATATATTACCATTGATATCAGACTTTACCACAGTCATAGCTGCTCCAAATTTATCTATAATTACAAAATAAAAAAATTCAATTCTTTGTTAAAAAGACCCCCACAAATTATTGTGAATAACAAGAAAATTACATTTGACCAACCTAAAATGGGCAGTATAAGTTTGCAGACATCCAATAAAGGCTTGGTCATCATATCTCCTTGTTCAGATTTGATATGCTTTATTCCTTCAAGACAGGGGCCAAATACAGAGTCTGCCATTTTTCTCAATTTTCTGCAAATAAAATTAGAAAAAAAAATTACATGAAGATTCCTGAGAGAGTTAATAGATTCCTTATACGAAAAATCAAAAACGCAGAACAACATTATCGTTATCTTTCAATTACCAATTTCGAAAAATCACGTGAAGCTAAATCAACATAAATGGATGAGATGAATAATTTGTAGTGTGATTCGTTTATGTATATATAAATGCTTACAAGCGGTGATGATGAATAACCTTGGATTAATTAATTAGAATTTGATTGGGAAATGAGTGGATTAAGAGTCGTTGTACATCAAAACAATTTGGTGTCTGGTTAAGGAAAGAAGAAAACTAAAAGTGGACTTGGCAACTGCTTTTCTAAATGCGCGCGCATTCTACATCAGTACATGCCTACAAATTTGGATTTCCATGAATCCATCCGATAGTTGTATTTATTATTTATTAATAATTATTAATTTGCATCCATATAATAAGAATAAGACTCACTATAATTGGTTAGTCTTTAGCCCTTTTATTTATTTTTTTTACGAAAACTATAATTTATATTGTATATGTAATTGTTTACGTTCGTTTTCGTCTACTGGACCACCGAATCGTTACGACATTTTAGGGTGTAAGTAATATTTTAATGCGATTAGAGAGATAATAATAAAGGAAATAAAAATGAAGACGATGGAACTGTTAGACGAATTAAAGTTCCTACACCGAAAATTCTATTCAGGGATTTGGGCCGCTCATGGACCTCTTTAATACAACAGTCTGTTAAAGGCTATAAAGCCTAGAAAGGCGACACGAAATGTAAGCATATTAGATGAGTTTTTGTGAAGGGTTTTTGGTGAGTTGAATGGAGTTGAATGCCCTCTTCAAGCCTCAAGATCATGCTATTTATATAAGGAGAGACCTCTAAAATCTATTATATCGGGACACGTGGTGGCCTCTTAGAGGCTAGCGATATGTATGGCAACAAGTGTTCTCACAACTTGCCCGACTTGTGCAAGAGGCTTATCTTTTTAGGCTGTGAGAACCGTTTCTAGGTAGCAAACTTTTTCACACTAGTATTTGGTAGAGATCAGCAAGGAGAAACTTTGCTCTTGGTCGATGTGGCAAGGTGACTTCGTTAGTCCGATTACCCTGCAGCCTGGAGTGAGATCGGCACACAAGCAGAGGTCGACTTGGAGGCCGGCGCATTTTGTTTCTTAGTCCCTGGTCCCTGGGGATGTTGCTGGTAAAGGATTATTATGCTGTCATCACTGTATTAGTAGGCTGTAATCTAGATCGACAAATTTGGGTATCAACCGAAGCCCCTAGGTTCCTGGGATCAGACAAATATTTTGATTGATTGTAGGAAGCTATTCGGATTCTTTTTGCTGGTCTGGAGATGAAACTTGACTGGGAAGTTGTCGTCGATGTCGTGAATGGATTTTTTAAAGGTCAAGCCATGATTAGTGGGACATGGGTTTTTTTACCGGGAATCAAACTTCTCGGCGGATTACTTGGCTTCTTTAGCTGCGACTAGTCCGGGCGGCTTACAACGCTTGGAGTTCCCGCCAGCTGGTTTGAAACCGTGGCTTGAGCACGATGTTATCGGCGTGGCTTACCATCGTAGGATAGCTTGTTGAGCTTCCCCTCCCCCTCTGTACCAAAAAAAAATAAAAGGTTGACTCTATTAAAATTCTAAAATGGATAATTATAATGGTTTTTCTTTAATGATGGGAGTGGGTTTGCTAAAAAGCACATCCCTCCAATGGTGTTCTTCCACGTGTCAGATAGTGGACCGTTGGTGTACGAAGGGTCGCCTCTTTCTTGAAATGACTCATTTGTGAATTTAATGAGGTTAGTCCATGGAACAAGGAGGATATCTGAGGGTACTCTTATACAATGGATGATATATCTTCTTTTTTCAACAAAGCTTGTCTGGTAAACATTCCTTCCTTTTCTTATTGTTTTGCCTTTATTCTTCTTGCAATTGGTCCTTCCAAAGAGGGAGAATTTTTTTCGGGCTGCCTTGTTGAAAATTTTACTGAATTTTGCAGAGAAAAGCCACCGAGAGTATGCGGTTGATGACCACGGCACAAGGGAAGACATTCGTGGTGCTGAGAACGGGTGGCGTTGGGGATGGATGACCCAATTTTTGTCCGGGAGGACCTTCCGTTGGTGCAGGCACATGGTCCTTAGGCTAAAATGTCGGGACCTTAGAAAAATTTTTATGGGGATTCCTATGAGGCCGAGAAGATCACATCCCCTACTTTGGAGGTGATGCTGGGCGATTTACTGTCGGATTGAGCGATTCAAGTGCAACAGAGGCAGCAAGAGGTCAAGTGGTTTGGGTATCCCTCTGTTTAATTTCCAATGGTGGTACGTGTTAGGGTATACTGTAGAAGCTCGGCTATGTGTTACCAACAATTTCATTTTTAATGAGATTCATGTTTTAGTCAAATGTGTGTTTGGAATTTATTTATTTATATGAAAATGGTCCATTTAATTTACATTGTAGACAATATGGATAAATGTGTGGAAGAGAAAATCATATTACCGATTCCTTGTAAAATATTAATTACTGGTCCACAGCTAGATAGAATTGAACTAACTGTCGTGAAATGTTGTAGTGTGATTTTCTAATTAGTTGATATTTGACTAAAGAATTATACTATTACATTTTTAATGTACTCAGCGAACCTCGGTGGATAAGATTATTTTATACTGACCAATTAAATAATCTAGAATTAGTAATTATAGTGTTCTCTTTACCCATAAGACAATAAATGAGCATATGTATGAAGATATTACTTATTTGATTTACCATGAGTGAGATTTATTGCGAATTAATAACCTCATATTATGGTAAATAATTCTGATTACATAATTTGCCATTAATATTGTGTACAATCAATGTATTCCAGTGCGCCGGGTTGATGACGTCACCAAAATGTGTTCAAGAAGGATTATTATATCAAGCCTTGCAGGCTAAAGTCCTCCTCGACAGCCGGCAAGCTACTCCATAGAAAGAAACCACGACATTGACCCCCGAGGGCAACCACCCAAAACGGATAGAGATCTGGTCCTAGGCTCCAAGTTAGAAACTGCAATATTGCTACACCTAACTAACCTGAACCCCCAAACCCAGTCCAAGTAGACGACCCTCAAAATGACCAACTCCAAACACTAACACCACACCGATCGAAAACCAAAGTACGATGAAACACTGAAGCCCTTGACCCACACATATCGCCTAACCCTAGGGGCGATGGGAAAAAAATGGGGGCAGAAAAAACCAAACCAGCCCCCAAATCCAACCCCTTCACCTACTGATAGCCAAGGTCAACAAACACTGAACCACGACCCCCACCCACCAGCGAACCCACCGCCCAACGCAAGGGAAGACAGGCATATAAGGGGAGAGAAGAAGCTAACCTTGGTTCTAACCACCGCAAGGTAGAAACTGAAGCAAACCGCCCGGCCACGCCACCAAACGCTAGAACTGCCTCGCGATCAGAAAGTCAACCTGCTACATAGAGGAAAGAGACTACCCGGCCGAGAGGGCCATGACATGATACAAGACCTGGAGCATGGACTAATGTAGCACCGCGGCAGCGCGGAGCGCCCCGCTGAGAGAAGGTCGACGTCGAGCTCTCTTTCTAGGTTTTTACTATTTAAATTAAGGAAAATCATGAATTGTGTACTTTGATTAGGATGTTCGAGGCATGTAGTGATGGAAAAAATTATAACCAGAAAAAGTCCAACGTGAATAAACGAATTTTAACTCATGCAAACATGAATATATCTCAAATTTACGAATTTCCAAATTGACCACATTTTTTCTTGGTATCTCCCCTCTCTCCTCAGCGGCCAAAAAAATTAATCCCCAAAAAGCCTTTTCTAAGACCCTCAATTTTTCCTGCCCTCCGCTGTTTGCTCTTATTCACAAAGAGGAGATGGTCGGCATCGGGGCAGATTTCTCCTTTTCTACCACCATTTTTGTCCTCTGGGCCAAAGTGGGGTGTACACCTCTTCCAGGTAGACATGGACAAAACCCGGCCAGTCGGGTCGCCCGGGCTCGAAAACACTGACCCTGAACCGGCACGGACCTATACTTGTGCCGGGTCCGTGTCCGGACCGGGTCGTGTCCGGACCGGGTCGTGTCTGGGCTTTTTTGAAAAAACAACAGAAAAAAATAAAAAAAATAGGAAAGGAGGGTCATCGACCCGGCCCGGCCCGGGCCTGCTGGGCCAGGTCATTAAATGGTTTACCCTTAAACGGCCTGTCTGAAATCCGGTCCGGTTCTGGACCCGTGGTCAACGGGTTTGACTGGGCCGGGTCGGCGGGCCGGTTGACCCGTGGCCATGTCTACTTCCAGGTGGCTGCAGCGGCGCTGTGGGACTGCATAGAGGCAGTGAAGAAGGAGTTGTGAGCATTGTTTGCTTCATCTTTGGCGAACGGTGCTNGGGGAGGTGAGCGGTGTTAGTCTTTGGTTTTGTTTTGGGGTGGTCCTTTTAGGTTTGGTCGTTGGTTCGGGTTGAGGGATCTAGGTTAGCCATCATCGGCTGGTGATTGGAGTGGCTAGATTCGTGCCCTGGGCTTGTGCTGGTCTCTGGGGGTTGTATTCGAATCTCGTCTTGCGCGGTGGTTATTTGGAGCATCTAGCTGTTGTTGGGAAGGGCTTGTTCTAGTATTATTGTGTTTATTGTATTTTGTCTGTGTTTTGTGTTTTGTTTGGTGTTTCGTTTTTCTCCATTATTGGGGTTAGCATTCTCAAGTTGTGGGAGCATAGTTTACTCCTTTGTAGTTTGTGGGTGTGTATAGTGTAGTAGTTTCTAGGCTACAGACATCTTCGTCGAGTTGGCCTCTATCTAAATTAAGCTTTATAGCTGCTTCAATCGACAAGTTATTCACTTTTAAGTATGTGTTTTTATTAATGAATATATTGTTTCAACAAAATTAAAAATGAAACCCTATGTTCCATAAGCCCCAATGTCGTGAATGTTAGTATATGTACTGAAAGTTTGGCTTTCGATGTTATTTACACTATTTCTGTTGAATGAGAATCATGTTCGATTAAACAAGTTTTACGTTCTGTTGTTTTGCATTTAGATAAAATGATTCATCACGAATGGACAGAAGATCATTTAAGCTCCTTTATGGAAGATGAGTAAATTCCTAGATCTAAGATGTGAACAAAATTATACCCATAAGACCTATGTCAGCTTTTTGTCTGAATACAAACAAAACCAATCGCTTTCTAGATGATCCTTCTAGAAGAAGGTGATTCTAACAATCTTTCTAGTTATTTCGTTCTCTATTTCTATTTGCGAGGATCCTAAGGAAAAGTGTTTTATTTCCACCGAGCTAAAACAATATGCTGATGTCTCTAGTAAACCAAAGTCACCACGGAATAGCTATTTTGCTTCATTCTTTAGAACTCTAAAAAAATAGAAGATTTAGTTACGATTAGAAATTGCCTTTCTATCTTCTGCCATGGATCCTTTACTCATACTTATTCAATTGGAAGTCTTGGTCCAATTCCAAAATTCTGTTTCGCGATTTCATAATCCAATTTTGCAATTTCTAAGTGTCAATTGTACAGTTGGTCTTGACTGATTAGTTGCACTAGTACACTTGTGTATTGAACGGATCCCAGAGAGGAGCAATTCGTTTTATACTGATCGTCGTAAACGAACTAGGCGTCGGGTAATTCATGTGTTATCTTAACCCGTAACATATAAATAGACACATGTATGTAGTAGACGCTGCTTTGATTCATGACATTCATCATATTTTCATGCATTATGAGTGATATATAGTGATATTTGGCCATGATTATCGTGTGATTGTGCACCATTTCGTTTTATTTATTAAACTATGATAGGGGTGTTTTTGTCGTTGTTTTTACAGGAAATATGCCCGAAAATACGTTGGAAATGGAATCGGGACGAAAAACGGCGAAAACAGGTGCAGAAGAGGTCACACGACTCGTGTGGATAGTGACACGGGTCGTGTGGGTTGAAGAAAGAAGAGACGCAGCTACGGCATTTTCACACGAGTCGTGTGGGTTGGGACACGAGTCGTGTGGCCTCACACGACTCGTGTGACCCGGTCGTGTGGGTGCTCGTGTGAGTCTGGGAGTTTACCAAAAATTGCAGAAACGTCACACGACTCGTGTGGCTTGTCACACGACTCGTGTGACGGCAGACCAAACCTGCGGGGAATAGGATTCTTATGCGTTTTCTTCCCTTTTTCGACCCTGAATGACCCTACAGTATAAAAGAGGCCTTAGGAACTCGTTTTTGGGACTTTTGACACCATTGGAAGCCTAGAGAAAGCACGAAACACACGAGGGATTCGAGGAAGTCAAGATTGAAGATCCGGGAACTAACGGCGACAATAGTTCTTCTTTCTTTTCTCTTTTTCTTCTTCATTGAACTCATGAATATATTTATTTTGAGCTTTGAGAATATGTTTAGTAGCTAAACCTTTTAGGGATTCTAGGATTTGCGAGTACTCGGATTATTTTATGAAGTGATTTTGTTTATTCATTCCGGTTTATCATTCGTTTATCAATTTCTTGTGCTTTTGTTTATTGTGTGAATATAAGGGCCCGTATTTATGCATATTTGTGATTGACTTGAGACCGAGAGGAGATAGTTGATTGCTAGAATTGGGAAATTCATAACGTAAGAGACTAAACAGACCGAGAGGTTGATAGAATCTTGCGAGGGAACTAGAATCTTAGGAGCTTATGGGAGTTGATTGTTCATCTTGAGACCGAGAGGAGATAGATAACAATTAATATCTACAATTTAACTTGTTCGAGAGAAAGGTGTAAATTACTTTAGTGATTATCCCTACGAATGGTAGAATTAAATAAGGTTTGAATGAATAATTAATCTTTGTTAGAATAATCCCGAGGAAAGCATAGCCTAGAATCTATTTTCTCATTCTTGATTTATCTTAGAACAAGTCTTCATTAGTGTTAGAATTTATTTTGCAATCATTCATTAGTTTAGAATAAAATCACCATTCAAATTTGCATTAGACTAAATAATATTTAATCGTTTACATTTTGATACTTAGTTAATTTTGACAACAATCTCTGTGGAATACGACCCTGCTCGCCACTCACTACAGCTATACCGTACACTTGCGGATAGTGAAAATATTTTGCGAACAATTCACTAAACGGTGAGGTTCATTCTGTCTGGCCCAACATTATAGGTGAATTGGGTAGTGATGCAGCATGAATGGCGTGTTGTTCGAATACTTATGGTCATCATGTACGTTAATTTGATGATATCCCCGAAGTGAGCTCATGAAGAATTGTTATGTTAAACTCTGAATGTGGATTAAGTTCCGACATAATAATAATGTTTTGAGTGGTACTAGCTTCGATTCAGGATGTTGTTTAGATTGATCGTCAATAATTAAATAAATGGACGGATATTATATCTTAAACGAGAGGAGATAATTTGAGTAAAATTATAACTGAGCTCAAATCATAATTTGGGAATTAAATTGGATTGTAACAATACTACTTTAGTGGAATGACTGTATTATTCGTATATGAACAGAGTTGACTTGGCCCACAGTTAGGCCCACTTACGGGATCCTAATTTAATGTCTCCTTAGGGTCCTGTTGTAGCCTATATAAACTCCACTACTCTTGGGGTTAGGACACACATAACGTGAAACATACACAAACGTGAGCCAACCCTAGTTCCCTCGAGTTCTCTCCGAGCTTGTTGCCATGAAGACGACCGATGATGTGTAGGGAAATACAGGTGAAGGCTCTGAGGTTGACGAGGCCCGACGACTACCACCGCCAGCGACGAGCCTCAGAATGTGAGATGTTGCGCGCCAACCCCGCAGCGCAACTCGAACGCCCCACTCCTGTCTAGTGCGACCCGCAACCTCCTCGACGAGCACAACGCAGGATATCTGTGCACGCCAGCCGACCAGTGAGAACCGCGCTCGACCCACTACAGTCCCGCAGCCACATGATGCCATACGCACGACCCGCGCGAGCCAACCCGTCCGATCGTGCGACCATACCATCCTGGTGACTCCGAGACATCCGACGAGCCGAATTTTCCAACGAAGTGAATCGACCAATCTCCATCAACGAAAATCTACGTCTCTAAATCTGTGAAATTTAAGTCGTATGTATTCTACGCTAAACCTTAGTTTCATCGCTCATAGGTTTAAATTATAGAATTTAATGCGTGACTTGCACAAAAACGACAAATCTTTACCGGTACCTTCAGTGAAGAAAATAATCACCGTCACAACGAACTACAATAGTTTCAAATACATTAAATCTTTCTTGTTTTCACAAAGCTATTTATGAAATAATAAGAGATAAATAGAACAAGTTTAGATCATGATTCTTTGGAGGTTTCCCTAACAGCAGACTCCAGCCACATCACCTAGCNGTCATATAATATCCCAAATATAAGGAAACTTTTCATAATAAATAAAGTTAATTATTGTACCATTTTCTATCTCTGGACAAAACTACATACAACTACCTTATGACCCATTTATTTCCTTCTTCCAGTGCCAATAGTCAATAGCTCAAAGCTCTTGAGATTTTCATCCCGGACACCTCTAGCAGCAGATGCGCGAGTTAAGGAGGATGACTTGGGCTCGACTCCAGGTGGCAATCTCCGGTTGGATAATGGGCGGCGGATGCCTGAGCTCAGCCTTGTATGACGATTTTCACCGGGCTCACCCGCGGAGCTGGGCCGGCTGGTTGATAGGGCGGCCCTTTTTGAGCTACTATCAGGCCTAGACAGTCGACCCCTATCAGAGTCTGAAAGTTGCTGTATGAATCACGAAGCAAAATGTGAAACTCGTGAGTTATCAGAAATAATTCTAGAAAACTGTATCCAAGGACATAAATTGGCTTAATTAGCTTAAAGGAATTCTGATTAGGAGTAAAGTGCAACAAAAAAAAAAAGGCACAACATGAAAAAAGTATCCAAAATAAAAATGTGATGATTTCATACCACATCTTTTGATGATGGGACATCCTCAGAAATTTTGTGTCTCGAGCGATGTTCTCCATGCACACCTGCACCAGAACCTTTTCGTCTGGCAAATGCCTCTACTGCACCTGGGACTCTATCTCGAAAATCTCGTTTCACTAATTACCCAAAAAAAAAAAAAATCCACATTATTTAGCTAGCTCATGTTGTTAATCAATCTAGAGTGTTACTCCAACTGAAGCATGAAAATACAATAGGCATTCCATAAATCACAAGCAGACCTGGAGTCTTTTCTTTCCTTTCTGCAAATGGTCCTAAGTTCAAAGGTATTTTCCCTGCTGCCTGCTGCTGACAGAAAAGATCAAACTAGATAAATAGATAGAATTGGCCTATTGTATGCTAGATTGGATAAATTAATTCAAACACTAACTCTTGTTCTAGAACTTGAACCGATTTGCGGATACTTTAGTATAGTCCAGTCAAACACATAATCAAACTGGTAACCTGTTCCACAAGTGAATTAAGTAGAAAAATGTCATTAGGTTTATTTCGTGAAGATGGGTTTGAAAGGGATTATGAAATAAAATGTAAAAGACATATAAACTTCAAAAATCTCTAATTATATTTACCTTCTCGAATGAAAAGGTCACGGAATAATCTCTTCAAATACGAGTAATCAGGCTTATCCTCAAACCGCAATGATCGACAATAATGAAAATACGATATGAACTCTGATGGATAAGATTTACACAGAGCCTGAAATAAAAATAACATATATGTCATCAATCCAGAAAAAGGGATAAATGACGAATAGTTCATACAAGGTTTGGCAAGTTGTAATACTTCTATGGGTGTAAGCATCTTCTTCTCACTTATTTTTTCATATTTCTGCTTCTTTGTGCCAGCTTTCAGCCCTTGCCAGGGAAGGCTAAAATAAACAAGTAACAAAAACATGATTAGCAAATTATGTTGGATTTCGAAAATAGAATGACAAAGTTATAGTATAGGCCTTGTACTCAACCTTCCCCGAAGGAAGTACATCAAGACATAGCCAAGAGATTCTAAATCGTCCCTTCTGCTTTGTTCTGAAACAAACAAACAAACAAACAAAAAAATTTCATGAATCATAAATTTATGGAAGGAGAAAAAGAAAAAAGAAAACCTGGAATTTCCTTTCGGTTTACGGACACGATCTGCACTCACCAACTCCAAGATGGGTGTTTACACTTGCATAACGAGCTGTACCGGTGAGATTTTTATTTTCTCTGTAAAAGGGTAAAAATATAACAAAGTATTGCAGACAAAATCATTATAGGAGAAAAAAAAAACAAAAAAAAAATTGTGAAATCATTAAAGAGGAATAAAATTCGCAGACAACAGTATATTAATGCAACAGGAGTTGATAATCGTCTCTGTGTATGATATTTGATTCAATGTTTGAAAAGAAGTTCCAATCAAGATAATTTTTTGTCAAGAAATGAAAAGCAGTGTATAATCCAACCAAGTGTTGAGTTCTGAAGCATGAAAGAAAAATGTTCAAGTACCCACCACCAGCACTCATAAGGGCTTTTCTATTTTACATATCACTAATTAAGGATTAAATTTTTTGAGGCAATAAAAGATAATAAACTCATTGTAAACCTACAAAAGTTAATATCGCAGTACCTCAGCTGACTGAAACAAGATAAATGGTGCAAAACATTATTGTTATAATTTTAGGAAACATAGTTGCAAGTACATCTCTGAGAAAAAGATACAGACAAATAATGTATAATTAAAGATGATACCTGTATGGTATGTGCTTATGGGTATGAAGATCTTTATACTTCTTTGCAAGTCCAAAGTCGATAATATACACCTATTCCAGGCAAATATAACTTATAAAAATAGGGTTCATCTCAGGATTTCTTTTGCATTTTCTTATTACGACTATACTTTTAGCATATTAGTCATCTCACAAGAATTTGATCATTTTATACATAAATAACTATGTTTTGCTAGAAGCCATATCAAATGATGATCTAGATAAAAGGAAAAAGAGAAAACACACACACACACACACACACACACAACACACATACACATATAACTAAGGAAATTACCTGATTTGCTTTGCGTCCCAAACCCATTATGAAGTTATCAGGCTTTATATCACGATGAAGAAAACCTCTAGAGTGCACATATTCCACTCTACTTATCTACGTGTAGTGCATCTCAGTTATAAAATAAATAATATGGAAAAAGAAAAAACTAAGGCAACAACATAAAATCACCTATGTTTGGTAATGGACTCGTACTAACCAATTGATCGGCCAACATCAAAACTGTTTTCAATGAAAACTTTTGATTGCAATAGTTATATAAATCTTCTAAGCTTGGTCCTAAAAGATCAATAACCATAGCATTGTACTCGCCTTCAACTCCAAACCATTTAAGATGAGGAATTCCAGCTTCATAAAAAAAAATAAAATGGGAAATGTAAATGAGCTTGTCTTATATGTTTGTAAACGTTAAGCATTAACAAATGAAATCACTCACTTCCTCCCTGAAGAAGCACGTACAGCTTCGATTCATAATAGAGCTGAGGGTGTTTGGTCTTAACAGGTTCCTGCAGAAAATAAAAGGCGACAAAATTTATTTGGCTCCAAAAGATCAAGATCCAAAACTATGAGATGATTGAAATACGACCCTAAAAGTTAAGTAAGCTTAATCACTAAAAATAATTCAATTATTTCCTAAAATTACAACTACACTCTAAAAGTATTACAAACAATCCCTTGAAATTGGTGCTTACCTAAAAATGCCACCTCCTGGTGATGGAAAATTAGTAAATAAACATATGTAGAGGGGAATTATTGAAATCTAAAAGATAACCTTTTATTTTTTTAATTGGACTAAAGCTAGAAGGTACATTCTGAATTTGTGCCTACAAAAGTTCAACATAAGTTCAGACAAATGAATAATTTTGCTAACATCAGTGGTGTAAGTAGAAAAATACAGAATAAAAGGAAGTCTCCTTTTATTACTAAGCACCAGAAAGTCGATGTTTCAATTAGCACATGTAGAAAGATACAAACTTGAACAGTCGTTCAATGGAGGATTCTCTATAATAAGTATAAATGCATAATGAAAGTAAAGCTAAATAAAAACTCTCGTCAAGAGTTCCAACAACAGGTTCAATTCTTTCGAGATTGAAAATTTTTTATATAGAAACTACTCACCATTTTCACGGCAATTTCTTCTCCAGTTTGTATATTTACCCCTAAAGGAAATTAAAAGAATAGAATGAAAATTTACACAAAAAAAATCACCTGAAGCAACATGCCTAACAATAATAATAATAATAATAATAATAATAATAATAATAATAATAATAATAATAATAATAATAATAATAATACATAACAGAGACAGATAATAAAATTTACCTAAATAGAGCTCCCCGAAAGATCCAGCACCTATTTTCTTGCCCAGCTTAAACTTCCCGCCAACAATATGATGATCCATAATCAATTTTCGAACAGACAAGATTGATATCGAAAAATAGGCAATCTTTGTTGATTTTTCAATACCCTTATAAATTATATCTCACATTTCGATAATCAATCTCAAAGTCCCACCCTTCAGATTCATTGTGAATCCATCAAAACAAATATTACAGAATCCACATCAAAATCCATTCTAATTTACAGAACACCAAAAAATAATATATGATTAATAAGAGCCCACTCAGTTATAATCAAAAGTGTATTCTTCCATCAAAACAACACACAAATAATTGCAAAAGTTCAGATTTCAAATTGGCTAGAACATTTATTGGGATTCAATCAACGAATAAAATATCCCAATAAAAATGAGTTTTATGCACATTCTAATGAACAAAGTCAGGCTCTGGGACGATGAAGAGGTTGGAATTGAAAATGCCAGGGTTTGTTTTTGCATTATGTGGGCAATAATCTGGTGAAAAAAAAAAATATTGGATTTCTCTATACATAATAAAATTCTATAAAACTTCTACAAATACATAAGCATATATATGTGCTATTAAAAGATGGCAATGGAATGAAGGGCAAAAAATGAGAGAGAGAGAGAGAGAGAGAGGAAATGCAACAAGCTAGAAAATATTGTTTTTTAGTTACATATTGGGTTTGTTTGGTTAATGCTTTTGGCCCAAAAATTAGTCTTTTTGTCCATATAGTTGTTTAAGTTTTTCCAATCCACCAAAAAAGTTGTTTGGTAAATTAACTTTTGGGTAAATTTTATATTTACACAGCGAATTGAGCTTAATTTCAATCATACGAGAGCATAATTTTTTATTGCATGATTACCAAATCATGACATTTATTAGTGATAATGCAACATATCAGTTACCAAATTAAAAAGATAATCCTTCCTTAATTCACGGATATAATGAAATTTTAATTTTCGCATTAAAAAAAAAAAAGATATGGTAAGTGTATATCCTAATATCTAGGATGTTGTTCAATTCAAAATTGAAAGATATGTATTTTGAATTTTAAACTTTATCATCTTCTAAACAAAATGTATACATCGCATATAATATATAAACATATACAGTTTGAAAACAACTACAAAGTTGCAAACTCGGGATATTGTAAATGTATTATTCATGCACATATACATTATATATTCGTGTTATATACTTAATATGTAAACATCGCATATACACAGTCTTGAAAACAACTGTAAGTATATCATTCATGCACACATACATAACATAAATCGTGTTATATACATAACATATACTTAACATAATCAAAAGTTTTGATTTATTGTCAGTATATATTCGGTATATAACCTGATTTGTTAGTTACATATCGTTTTTATCTAATCACAATTGTGATATTTGAATTTTTGTTCATTATATAACCTATCATATACATATCATAAACTTATCATAATCATTATTTTAATAAATTATTTTAGTAAATGTACAGTATATGATAAACAAATGAAGCTCGAGCCAGATGAGAAACACACAAAGCACAGGCGACGAAGACATATACGAACATATATTGTCTATACACGCAACATATACTGCCGATTGTGATTACGGGAACATATACAGAATATATTGTATATAAGCGCAACATATCCCACAACATAGTAAATTAAAGGACAAAAAAATCTAAAAAAAGCTGAAACATCCTCAATCATTAATCATACATATAATGAATATAACCTAAAACAAAACTAAACAATGAAAAAAATTGTACGTGTACGAATCAAAATTACTCGCTGTGTAAATATAAAATTTACCCTATTGAATATAAACTAAAATAAAACCAAAACAATGAAAAAAAGATTGAATCAAATTGGGCGAAGATGTGCGTGAACTTCTAGAGACAGTCGGCTGAAAACCTTGTCAAAAAGTCTCACACCATTATCCCCCAATCAAGACTTGAGATATTTCCCTATCGTTTTTCAAAAAGAAAAAAAAACAACCATGGTGATTGGTAACCCCGACATCAAAACCATCATCGCCGGTTCCATTCCACGCCGCAGGAGTCAGTGGCGGTATGCAACCGTCGTCCTGAATGCCAAATCGCCGTTGAATTACGTGGCGAGGCTCGGCCGTGGTGCCACGGGCTTCACCACCTGTTCTGATATTGGTCCAGCATGTTTGAACTTTGAGTGTATTGGATTAGGGTTTGCAGTTTGGTGGGTCATGGGAAGGATTTGGGATGAAATTTTGTTGACTGATTGGACGTGGGTTGTTACAAGATATGGGGAAATAATCTTCTTACCAAATACCTCGGGAGCAATTTTTGGGAAGGTGATAAGTTTTTCATTAATTACTCTAAAAATTGATTACACATGTAAATTAATTAATTTATTGACATCTGGTAGTTTTGCAAATACAAAGCGCTGAGCTGGTTGAATTGCTAATATTTATGACTTAGTTTCATTTATATAATAAAAACTTATATGTATTGTACATGGTGCAAATTACTCTTAGCTTTTCCATCAGCCTTTTCAGGTCTAACAGCTGAAAAAAAAAAAATTACATAATTACCATAATATTTGCAAAATAATTGTAAAAATACTAACTACAAAACTCAACTGCAAACATGCCTTATTGACCATAAAAAATTATGTTAATGCTACATTACAATAACGGACGAGAGAGAATACCTGGTAGTTACTTTGGAGGATCTCATGCCTTATGAGATTAATCCCATAAATAAATAAATAAATAAAAAAAGAACATAGAAAGGTAGATTGAATATAAAATTCCTAAAAATCGGCATTTTTTAAGTTGAAATTCAAAACAGAGAACAAAATCACTGAAGAATAACAAAACTAAACAATATCTTTCAGATAAAAAAAGGTCGAGTATTCAGATTGTACATGATTACGATTACAACTTGTTTTATATACTGTAAATATACATGATTTCATCTGATTGTCGTCGTTTTTATTTACTTTTATTATGTCAGTGTTCTACGCACATATATGTCCGTGTTGTACAACTTGTATATATTTACTTTATGTTATACAGATAATTGCATTTTATAAACCAAATATAAACTAAATTTTGGTTGTAGTGGACTAGGATAATTTTTTGTATTTTTTTACATCCTCAAGACCACTTATATCATGTTTTACATATCAATGTTGTATAGATCACTGGTATAACAATAAATAAAAAATACAAATGAAATTCAAACATCACAATTGTAGTTAGATAAAATATTTGCGTAAATAAAAGTACAACATATACTGCAAATATACTATTACCAATTCAAAATTCCCTAAATATGTCGCTACAGTACTTTTCTTACAGTTCTTGTTATTGCTTCAACGTTGCACATCCTTCACCGACGATACAGCCGCCGACAGCACCGGAGCCAAAACCGTCGGCTCCTCCAACGTCACCCTCTTG